AGAGAAAGAGAGAAGGAAGGAACCGAAGGAGGGAGGAGAGAAGAGAGAAGAAGGATGGCAGGGTGGTGGGGGAGGCCAAGGGAGGAAGGAAGGCACATGGAGGCGAGGAGGTGGGAGGAAGCGAGAAGGAAGGAGGGAGGTAGGGGACCGCAGGACGAAGGAAGACAGGATGAGAAGGAAGAAGGAAGGAAGAGGAGGAGGTTGGGATGAGGGGAGGTGGGACGGAAGGGAGAACGGGAAGGGAAGGAGGAGAGGACTGGGGAGTGAGGAGGTGGGATGGTTGAGGGGAGGTGGGAGGTGCACGGTGAGGTGGGAGGGAGAGTGTGGGAGGGAGGAGGTGGGATGGTGAGGGAGGGTGCGGGATGGGATGGGGAGAAGGGCAGCAGGAAGGAGACGGGAAAGGGCGAAGGATGGAGGGAGGGGAGTGGAGGAGGGCAGGAGGAAGGAAGGGAGGGAGCGGAGGGACTTTGAGGGTGGCGAGGAGTGGGAGGAGGAGAGGAAGGGAAGGAGGAGAGAGAGAAGGAAGGAGGGAGAGAAGCGAAGGCGAGGAGGGGGAGGGAGGAAGAGCAAAGGAAGAAGGAGAGGAAAAGAGGGAAGGAGGAAGGGAGGGAGGGAGGAGCAAGAGCTCCTGACACAGACATAAAAGTCAGTGTGACCAAACCTCCAGCCCCCCCGGCGACTTCCTCTCAGGCCCCCCCGACTTCCTCGAGCCCCCTTACTTCCTCGCAGCCGCTCCCCCCGGCCGTCCTGCCTCGGGTGAGCGGGGGAGGCGCGGTCCTGCGCCGCCCCACCCTGTATATTCCAGCCATCAGGGGCCAGGCCCGCCCAGCAACCGTGTTCACCCCCCAGTCCTGAACGTCAGGCTTCCCGGTGCATCGGCGGGAGCAGACGACGACGCTGTCACCCACTGCCTGTCCCCGTTGTCCCTGTGTCCCCGTGCTGCGCACCGCTCTCTCTCTCCTTCCCTCCCCTCTGAATCAGTCCTGCACTGGCCACCTGGGGCTGCCCCGCTCTGACCACGTGGCCTCCGTCTTGCTCCTCATCCCTCCCCGTGGTGGCAGGAGAGGCTGCAGACTTGCAGCGCCCGTCTGACAGGGAGACGTGTGGGGCCGTCACACAAGGAGGAGGAGCCCCAGGATGGCGGCACAGAGCCTTAGCCTGAGCGAGGGGCTGTCTGCCCTCGGAGACGCCGCCCGGCCTCAGGAGGGAGCACGGGTGGCCTGGGACGCCCGTCCTGCTCTGGCCAGCTTGTCCGGGGTGGGGCCCGCCCTCCCCAGGGCAGACGTTCTGCCGGCGCCTTCGGGAGGAGGGCGGACGTCACGCCTCAGGCGCGGACCTGCCCACCCGCGCAGGCACACCTCACCTTGTGTCCGGGGTGCGGGGACGAGGTCCGGGCCACCAGCAGCCGCACCACAGCGTCCCATCTCTCTGCCGTCTGGCGGTCCCATGCGGTCACCGTGAACGCCACCTGCTCGGAGGGGACCCGCAGCTCCCGGGCAGCGAAGACCGTCCCGTCCGCCCCGACTTTGAAGTCCACGCTGTTGGTCTCGTACTGTGTGCCCTTGGTCCCCAGACAGCTGCTGAACTCGACTGCAAGAGGAAGGGGGGGCAGTCAGGACCGGCCCAGGGCACAGGGCCCAGACACCACCGCGACCGCGCAGGACCGCTCTGGGCTCGGCGAGCAGCAGCCCGGGGAGGTCGCGCACCGCGCGGCCTTCCCAGGTGTGGGGTGTCTTCTCGACCCCCGGGAATTCATAGAGGCCTCAAACAGGAGGGCAGCCAGCCAGGCCGCACCCCACCGCACCTAGGGCTCAGCCGCCCTGGGCTTCTGCAGACGCGTCCCTCCCCCCTGGCTGCTACCTCTGAATTCACCGGAGATTGTCGGGGTCACGAGGGATTCTCTGCGTAAAGAATGTTCCCTCGACCCCTCATGAACATGCTTAAATTCCCCACTGGTCACAAGTTTCACAGGAGGGTCTGAGACATGACACATGTTCTACCAGAACAGTTTGCTACACAAAATACACTTTCTGGATGGCAGGTGCAGGAATCCACCATCTCACCACCACTCATGACATGGTTTCTGTTTGTGAGTCCCTATTAAATGTTTCTCTCTGAGTAAAAAAAAAAAAAAAAAAGAATGTTCCCTCGTTTCTCCCATTCTTGCCACACGCAAACCTTCTGCCTGCCGGCGTGGGCTTTGCAGCCCCTGATGGATCCATGTTCCCAAGAAGGGTTAGTGCGGGAGGGACAGAGAGAGCTGGCATGTAGGGACCGTCCCCGTGGCAGGTGGGTTCCGGCAGCAGAACCCTAGTCTGCCGTGATTCTGGGCCTTTCTCTTACTCAGTGAGGTGGGCCGGGACAGGGGGGCCGGGGCAGAGGGGCCTGGGCAGTGCGGCCAGGGCAGGAGTCTGGCAGTGTAGCCCGGGGCATGGGCCAGGGCAGGAGTCTGGGCAGAGGGGCTGGGCCAGGGGGCTGGGGCAGGGGAGTCTGGCAGGGCTGGGGCAGTGCCAGGCTAGGAGTCTGGCCAGGGCTGGGCAGGCTGGGCATGTGGCCGGGGCAGGGGGGCCTGGGTATTGGCTGGGCAAGGGGCCTTGGCAGGGGCCTGGGGCAGGGGGGCCTGGGCAGGGGGCTGGGGTCAGGGGGCGGGCAGGGCCTGGGCAGGGGGGCTGGCAGGGGGGCTGGGGCAGGGGGGCTGGGCATGTGGGCCGGGCAGGGGCCTGGCAGGGCCTGCAGGGGGGCTGGCAGGGGCTGGGCAGGGGCATGTGGCCTGGCAGGGGGGCCGGTGCGTGGGAGGGCAGGCCTGGCCAGCCACGCACACTCTTGCCCCCCCCACTAACGGGGGCGGAAGGCGGACCGTGCGGGGACAGCGCCGGCCCCGCACGCTGTGCTGCCTCCAGAACACTGGCCGGGCGACAGCACCGCAGCCCCTTCCGGTGGCCCGGCGCCGCAGCCGCTGTGAACTCCGCCGCGGCGAGCCCCCTCTCGGGCAAGCGTGTTCACTGGGGCCACATCAGCGCGTTTTTATCCGCGCGCTCTTGCGACTGTCACCGGATGCCGCGGTAACCTGCGAAGCGCCGGCAGTGGCGTCACACCATGCTGATGAAAGGACGGATCCCGTCACCTGGTATTTGTGAAAACGCGGGTGTCTCGGCAATTACGGGGGGCGGACTGGCTTCCTAAGCAATTCCACTGTCACAGCTTACATGGCCTAATTACTGTTTAGGCCACGAGAGAAAGCTACTCGCGGCTACGTCTGACGAAGTGTTTTCCCTGGGGTTCACCTTTTATTGTCGCTGCCCCCAAATAACGAACAGCGAGCGAGCTCCCTGGTCTCAAGCCCTTCCCCTCAGACGCTGTCCCCGCACTGGCGCCTCCCACTGGTGGCTTTAACGCGAGGACGTTTTCAAATGCGGTGACGCCGGCCACTCCCGTCTGGCTGGTGAGGACCTGCGGCATGGGGGGGTCCCCCGACTGGGGAGGGTGGGGGTCAGCCGTGTCTCCGTGGAGACCCTCCCTGCTCCAGGGACGGAATGATCACATTTTTTCCCAAGCGACAAAAAATTCCTAGACTACTTTCATACGGTCTGTCCCAGTGGTAAACAAATTAAAATCAGCGGCAAACGGAGTGGCTCAGTCATCTGTGACACCCGACTGTCACCGACAAAAGATAGAGATGACGGCTCCGTGACTGCCGGGAGATTAGCAGGAGACACACAGATAAGCGCCTTTGTTCGCCGAGAGCAAATTTCTAATAAAACTAATGGGACGGGACAGCGGCAGGAGGGTCTAATCCTGTCTTCATGTGACGTCACTGTATTTTCTTAAGAAACACGCGGGCGGCTTCGGTGACATCTTAGGCAAGCACGGACGCCGCTGCAGGGAGAACCGGTCGCCGGCACGCAAGCTGCCTGGGCGGGGGCAGCGGGGGTCACGGACATGAGAACCAAGGACTGTGCAGGTGACAGGTGTCCCCTGGGGGAGAGACCACGAAACTAAAGCCAGCCCCTCCAAAGCCACCTGTGGCACAGTCTGGAGGAACGAGGGGACGCAACGGGGGCTCCTCCCCGCGTGGGGTGCTCAGGAGACCTCACGGAGTTTTCTGGTCCGTGTGTGGCACGGACCCGCCCAGTTACGAGGATGCCGTGGGGCTTGGTGACCAGGTGCAATCTCGACTTCTGGTTTCCACACATAACCTTAACTCGAGTGACCCGCTCCGTCCAATGCTCCTGTTTCAGCCGTGCCCGAGGGGGGTGGTTTCCCCGTCGCGGTTGCGGTTCTGAGTCCACAGACTCGTGAGGACGCATCAAGAAAGCGGGATTGTCACTGGGCCGAGGAGGGCCCGGTCTGTGGCAGGAAGGTCAGGACGAGGCTGAGCAAGTGGCCTGACTGACGCCTCGCTGGAGACAGCCTGGAAGGCGGGGTGGCAGTCGGGGCACCTGCCGTGTCGGGGAGACCAGCTCTCCAGGAGCAGGAGGGACTGCAGGACAACGCCTGCCCCCACGCCCCACCGGGGAGGGCTCCTCTTTGGTAAGAAAAGATCAACATAGTGTGTTCTTCTGAGATAGCAGGGGCATTCATGAAATATCAGTGCTGAATAAATGAACACCACCTTTGGAAACTCTGTGAAATGTGGGTTCACATTGCTCAACACAAAAGTGCCCCTACAACGTTACCAACGCTCGGCCGTGCTATGGGCTTGGTGCGTGAGTGTGCAGGGGCACACCCAGGGAGAAGGGTGTGAGGTCTCAGGACGGGGGCTCTTCCCAGGAGCCCACTTGTCGTTCTTTGCAGATTGCCTGAATGTGGTTTCCCTCTTCGCTTGGGCTACTGGGAAGCTCAGAGGCAATGCCGTGGCCGGTTTCTAACAATGCTGAGACCTTTACCAACCTCTGCACATTCCACTCTAATTTCCATCTTTGTTTCCTCCTCAACCCGCTTCCCTCCTCTTTCATCCTTTCTTAGTTTTGGAGTCTGTGTGTATTTCCACAAGGTTAAACGCATTTCAGGAGGACACAGGAACAGGTGCACACGCATGTGCAAGTGTCAGCACACAGCACATGTGCCCGTAGGCAGAGGAGATGCCCTCATGGTGCTGCCCAGAGCAGAGTTAACCCGGCTCTCTCCGCTCTGCGCTCCCGGATGTGGTCTGGGGTCTGTCTGTGCCCTCAGTCGGGGGCAGGGGGAGCCGAAGCTGCTTCCGGGAGTTTCCTGGGGCGGTCCAAAGCCTGCGCTGCCAGGAGCAGCCGCGCGCTCTGCCGACACCAGGCTCCAGGGCCGCAGGGCCGCGACCGAACATGTGGGGCAGGAAATCCCGCGTGGAAACGCAGGGACCCACGGTCACAAGCTCCTGCCGCTGCCACGCAGGGAATCTGTGTGGGGGGGAGGGAGCCCCTGCTGGCCTCAGCCAGCTCGGGGACCGCCGGGGGCCCGGCACCTACGGCTGCACCTGCCCCACTAATCATTTCCATTAGCTTTAAACAAACTTGACAAGAGACAGAAGGATCCCGGGAGAAATTAGGTCTCATTGTCTGAACACACACGTGGCTGCAGTCTCCCTCGGGGGTGGCAGGTGCGGCCCCCGAAGCCGGCGCTAGTGGGGGCACCAGGCAGTGGGCCTGGGGGCAGGACCTCCCCACCTGGCCCAAGCACGTGTGTCCGCAGGGTGGGGCGCTGGGCACCTGCTGGCACGGCCCAGGGGACAGTGGGAGGCATCCCTGTGCTGCACGGCCCCTGCCTCCCGCGGCAGGAAGGCTCTGCGTTTGGGCAGGGCCACCGCGGTTCAGAATCCCAAACACAGGAGTGCAGCGGGAGCCCGTGAGCTGGGGAGCCCTGCCTGCCCCCGACTCCTCTGAGCCACACGTTTCAGAGTCCCGGGGCTCTGATCTCTGCAGCGCCCACAGGGCTGCGCCCGCTGCTCTGGCTCCCCTCTGGGGCTACCAGATGCAGAGCCACATGCTCTTGTCACTCTGGGACGGGGACACTCTTCTTCGTGGGTCACACAGCCACGCTGGCACGTGGGGGAGGGAACGGCTGCTCAGAGCCGCGTGGAGGAGGGGTGGATTCTGGACCCCTGGCGGGGAGCAGGGCGGAGGTGGGAGTGGGGGGCGCTGGCGGCTGGCACGTGTCTGGCCCTCAGCTGCCGCTTGCTGGGGCTGAATCCAGACGGAACCTGAGCTTTCCCAGCCCGGATCCCTCTGCAAACACGCTCGGGTCAGCTGCCAGCCATTTCTCCAAAGTAAACAAGAAGCAACGCAGGAAATGCAAACATACTTTCTTGCCTCTCTAAATGGAACCGACCCGCCCAGGCAACCTCTCCCTGGGTCTCCGCAGGCAGCTCGGAGAAGCCTGGGGACCCCTCGAGGTGAGCAGGTGGCTGTGAGCCAAGGGTGGGTGCTTTGGCGTCCCTGGTGCCCGTTCCCCCTGCAGGGCGGGTAGCACCCCGGCGGGCACTGCTCAGACAGATAGAACTAGACCCGCGTGGCGGCTCTGCTGCACAGCCCGGGGGGCGAGCGGCGCTCGGGATCGGGAGGGTTCCCGGTGGACTCGGAGCCTGGACAGGGACTGGGCAGGGCAGGCGCCAGCCCCGC